AGGCCAATACTGCCGGGATCGTGGAGGAATATGAGGCCCTGCGCCAAAGCATGCGGCGCGAGTTGCGGACGTGGCAGAGTTGCGGAGTGGATGAGCCGATTTCAAGAGATTCAGAAAGCCTTCCAAAGCCTTCCAAGCCTTAGTATGAAGAGCCAATTCACCTGAATAAGATCCAATTCACCATAATTCACCTGAAGGAAGATGTGGATCCTGTTCAGACCCTCTCCTTGCTATCTTCTGCTCAGGGTCGTCCTTTTGACACCTGAAGGACTCGCCGTCATCGCATGCTTCTATCGCATGCCGTCATCGCATGCACGGGCCGGGCCTTGGCAAAGGACTTCGCATCGTCTCCGCAGCGTTGGCTCCATGTTTCTGGTCATACAATTCTTCTCAAGTCGGAGAAGTTTAGTAAATGTTGAAATTTTCTGGCCAGGCGGCAAGGGGATTATTATCAGAAGCAACATGCCCTACCAAGCAGCAGTTCAGTAAATAAATTCAACTGTTTCGTGTTGTAGTACAGCTATGCACGGGTGAATATTGTACCCCAAGTAAAGAAAGGGCATCGAACTCAGGTTTCAGTGCTTATGGAACAGTGTTTTGAGAGCTTGCAAGCAGTTGTGAAACATAGGAGTGAGTTTTGCATGCAGCAAGCAAAACACCTTCTGCCAGAAAGAATCCATGTCAGTGGATTTATTTGTTCACCCTTCTCTATAGGCTACTGGCTAGACCCTAAGGCTGAAAAAGTGCAAACATAGAGTACCCTTCTCCAAATATATATATATATACCTGAGTAGTGACCCCTTCTTGCGGAGGATCAACTCTCCCAAAGATGGTCCAACTTCGCATCCAAAAAGGAGGTCATGCGAACGGGTTCCAGGTTCTACCGTCCATTCCCTCGGCCCACCAGTCTCGAGCGACCAACCCGACGCGTTCTCCGTGCCAGTTGCCCAAGCCTCGCTACGGCTTCGGAGTCTCGTGGCAAGCGCAAGGCGCGTGCCGCCTGACGCACAACCGCCTGACGCGTGGGCGAGTTTGGATGCGGAGGATGAGCCGGGTGGATGGACAGGTTAGGGTTTAGGTGGGGAATTTCTTTGGGGAGATGTTTTGTTGGGTGACCGAGCATTTGACAATTCGACAGGTACCATGCTCCTGGAAACTGGTGTTTCTGAACCCAGGAAGCAACATCATAGCGAATGTTTAGCTCTTCGAAGCGGAGGACATGTTGAAGAAAAAGAGGTGAGGGATCTGAAAGGGATGACACTCTTTTTCATGTTCATTCTGTCTCAGGGCGGCCAAGGGGTACTGCAATGTCGGAAGTGACGATGCAGTGGAGTTGCTGTAAACATGTGGTCACCACTTGCAACTTGAAATCATGTTTCAACAAGCTTTGATCATCAAGGTCCCAGAAGAAGCCCTGATCGTGGTAGACTGGGACAATGTTCCCGGAGAGTTTTTGATCCATAACACATTCCGCCGTGCTTACCTGACGTGAAAAGGGCATCCTGCCAGGTGGTGTGGAGATCATCGCACCGCAGGTTCAAAAGACCTGTTACAAGATCTCGGTGACGGCGATCTGATAGGAAAAGGGGTCTTCAAATGTGCGTTGATGCACTGCAACCGCCGCGCTCATGTGCATCCATTGCACTGCAAGACTTTTGAACAACACCCAGAGTTGGCAAGGCAGATGGCAGACATTATCCTAGTGGTGCGATGGCAGACATGACCTCATTTTGCTGGAAAACAGTGGTTTGCGCCTGATGAAGTCAGCAAACGGATATACTGTATTCTTCCGGCAAACTGAATTTACTTTGTGTTCGACGTTAGGCAGCAGGATCGCGGGTTCGTAGACACACCATTCTTGGCAGATAGGCCCTCGGAAGCTCTTTTCTTGATTAACATCGAGCTGCATTTTGGTGGCAGTGTCAGAACACATCCTTTGCTCCCGTCAATTATTCAACGCCCGCGCATCATATATCAGTTCGCGATGGCCCCTTCACTTGTCTCTTTCGGTCCTCAGCCTTGCTAGCGGAGAATTGCGCTAGAGTATCTCATGTGGGCCAAGCAATAATAGAGACCCCCATGGGCACCTCTTCTATGAAATTAATTCTTGCCCGGCATTGGCAAATCAGCCCTCGGGACCCGCTGCAGGTGCCTTCACTTCTTTTAGACTTAGTGCCTGTTCAGTCAGGTATCCACACAAGACGTTCGCCGGTTGCAGCGTGACCCCGGCTCTTTCTTCTGCACATGTGAATTTGAAGTGTTTCTTCCCTTTTTTCTCAAGGAGCATTTCGGTGACAGAGCAAGCAAAGGTGTCGGATGCACAGCTGAAGTCCACTGAGAATAGCTCCCAATCCTGGGCACGCTTGATTGGCCGCCTGGTTGAGGAATTGGACAACCTTCTCATATTCGTTGGTTCCCGCGCCGGATCCCAATGCAAGGCTCGCTGCTACGGAGCGACTCGTAGCATCCAATCGGAAGGTAGTTGGGACGGTTGATGATGAAGTTACTTGTACTTGCAAACATACTTGATGCTACGTCATAGATGGTGTGGGTTGGGGTGGGGCTCTATTGACGTCACTTGTACTGCTTCTGGTTCAGTAGTCATTCAGTGAAGCATGCAATGCATGAGTATACCCGCAAGCTTCCTCGCAAACCCAAAGGCAACTCAGAAAGCAGATAGTTGCTGGAAAGCCAGTTGCCACCTAGTGTCACTTGCACACATAAGTTGAATCGTTCGGCCAACCCGCTGCTGATGTAATGTGTCAGGAGCTGGCAGTACAGAAATCTAGCAAAGGGTGAGCCGGTGAAACACTTGGCAAAAGCGTTGCTCGACTTCCAGAAAAGGTGATGCCAAACACTTTAGATGTGGAATGAGGTTTGCCGCGCGTTTTCCAAACTCTCTCCGAAACCTGCATTTCGATCACATTTCGACGCCTGAGTGGGGTCGATCCTTTTTCTATTGGATTACTCAGCGCGCGTAGGTGCCACATGAGAGCCTGTGCGCGTGCCCTCAGGAATGCCATGGCATGTTTCACGTCTTTTATCCTTCGAGTGCTCTCTTGGTGCCTGTCCCTCCTCGACCGGCCCGGCCTTAAAGCGCATCGATAAACATCTGTGAGGCAAAACCTGTTGACATCTTAGGGTTTATAATGAATTAATTTTTGCTTGCATGGCGGCCACGGACAACTGTCCTCAGCGATCGCGAAAGGAAAAAGGACGCCCCTTCAAGGGTTGGTATATAGCTGAATAACCGTACTGTTTTTATAGGACCAAAAGTGACGAGGCTGGATGTTTCAGGGATCATTCCCACTGCATCCGGCCAGCGCTAGTAGGAAAACCTGTGTTTAGTCGGCTTAATCATGATTCATGAACATAAACCTAAACATCATCTAGGCTCTGAAGCCACGGTAATTTTTTTACAGTTTTTGTGACTTGTGACTTGTTCACCCTTTTTGTGGCTTTGCTCAGTGATCCTGGGCCAAAGCATGGCCAAATCATTTTTTCGGTGAGTTCGTGTGTTCACGGACCAGGCCGCCAGATAGACGTGGATCTCCAATGTGTGGTTGTGGCCTCTTGGTTATTGTTGGCAGAAATGTAGGGAGGAAGGGATGGCTGCTGTCGTGCGTATTTCATTTGTTGCCTCCTGTGTAATGAACGAGTGATGCATCGTAGTTAGTGAGTGTTTCGTAGTTTTTTGAGTGTTCGGATGTTGAATTACTGGTGTAAACATTGTAAACTGACCGATCTAAATCATCCCTTTGATGAAGGTTTTCCAGACATGCATGTCCCCCAGAGCCACTTCCGATTTTTTCTCAGGTTACATGGTTTGACCACAGTGATTTGTGATTTTGAGATAGTTTTTGCACCCAGTCAAGCCAACAATCCCTCAATTGATCAAAATGATCTTGACTGGGTGACGTGGTATTGCAAAAAAAAGGTTGTTATGTTCCCGGTTTTTGGGTGAATCCCCTGGCATGGTGAATACATGTTGTTGTTTTTATGCGTAGTTTTTCGTCTCCCCGAGCTTCCTGGAGAGCGAATCTAAGCAAAACTGGCCAATTCGCAAGTTCAGAGTCTATACAGCAACCACGCTAAGCGTGGTTGGAAGACTTATATACCTGGACTTTCCATGACATGGGAGATCCAGTGGGTTAAGGTATTGGTGACAGTAGCCATTCAAACAGATAGGGTTTTGAGGACCCGGGCCCCTGCTATGGAGGGTCCGACCCCTGCCATGGAGACCCCAAGGATTCTTAGGGTTGATGATATTTGTATCCCGGATGTTTCTGGGGTTTTACTTCTCTTAAAGATTTTTTCTTAACCCTCTTAACCCAAGAGCCTATGACCTGTTTCCCTTTTCCCAACGAAGCTCGTTCTCCTAGGACGATGGCGGTGTCATCATTGACTGTGCGTGAGCCAATCCGACCTTCTCCAGAGCGTCGGCGATGGCACTTCTTGTTTCATTCCTGTCATTGCAGTCACTCGCCTCAGTGCCGCTGCTGTGTACAGATCAGCAGACGTGTTCTTGCTGGCTAGCTGGTTTCCACAGGACTGGAAGACCCACGGACAGTCATCCTGAAATAGTCCAAAAACAGGACCGGTTTAGTTTCCTACTGGTCTTTGGATTTTCCATATTCCATCTAATGACATGTATTTGTTTTCATGGCGGCGCTCCAACTCCTTGATCTTAAATCAATAAGAGCTTTGAGGCCTTGCAGGTCAGCATGCTAGTTCGCCAGCAGCTAGAAATAAACTTGTGTTTTAGATACGCCCCGCAAAAATTATAAAGAACCCTTGTGCTTTCGGGTCTAAATCAGTTTTCTTGTGATCTTGGAGAGATTCTCATCGTGTTTGGCCCTGGCAAAGCTTAAAGAAATCAACCGATTCGCCTCCCAGTCATTTCAGTACGAATCTCGGGTCTTCAGCTGCTGTCCGGCCTATGTGGAAGGTACTACAACAACCTGAAAGCCGTTCGTGCGATTACGCACTCGGGTGATGAGATGGTGGGCAAGCCAACGGGCATTCAGGAGCGCTACCAGCGAGCGATGAGGGCGATGCAGGGTGAGGGGGGATCCCTCAAGGGCCGGACATGAGGCCTGGAAGCACTCGTAGTCCTGTAATGCGTTCTCGACACAACCCAAGTCATCTACAGACACATGACGCCTGGAAGCATTTTGGAAGCACATTCCCAGAATGCAGTCCTCCAAGCCATGGCTACCAGCGACCTGGATGTGTGGGCTTTGTTGGTCGCCAATAACGAACGTTGGAGGTTGCGCCCGGCCTCAGTGACCTCTGTGATAGTACATGCATATATTATATATATATATATTATATAGACGGTTGATTTTTATAACCCTCCGATCCAGAAGTGTGTTTTAAACATGTGGGTTTCTTCATCAACCAATATTATGATGATAGGTAAAATATGGAAAAATCGGTTATACCCTAGGGCTCCAAGTACCTCCTCAGAAGGTACTTAATGTATTTGGACCCTCACCTCATCACAAGGTACAGTACTTGGATCCTCAGTGGCGACCCCCCAATCTCCCCATCTTACTGTAAGCACCGGTTCCCAGGCAGGCCGCGTGGGATCGCCAAGGTGATTTGGTCATATCGTGTCATTCGAACGGGCACACGAAAGACCAAGCCCTAGGGAGCAGTGGCCATGAGCCCTTTGCTCCTACTGTAGTAGCTTCTTGTTCCTAGTAGTAAGGCCAGGAGCCCCCCAGTAGCGTCTTTGTTCGCAGTAGCACACCCTCAAGACACGGTTTAGGATGTCCAGTCTAGGGCAAGTGGTTTCCTTTTGTGGGAGCAACAAGAAAAGATCCAAACAGCATCAAAACGAATAATTAGCACCGCAGATGAGACACCCTCATTGCCACCGGGGGGACGGGGGTCCTAGACACCGTATGGCGCCGTCCGGTGCTCACCCGGAAGTCCCATTTCGGTCAACCCGAGATCCACATACCAAACCTGAGAAGGTGAGCAGAGAGACTATATTTATGTAGGCGCCTGGGTCGGGCCCAGTCATGCCTTCTGAGAAGGTGGCAGTGGATCCACAAGGGAAATAAGTACCATTGAACAAAATGCCAGGCATGGACCCATTTCGCTGCAGGAGCTTGTGTGGGTGAATTTGAACAAACTGCCGTGCAGCCGGCCTGCTTGTCCTCTGCTGGTGGAATCGAACAGACGCGTCAGGTGTCCAGAAACTGTTGAAGGTTCGTACCACTACGCTCCCTGAAATAATCATACGTGGATGGCATGGCCCTGAGTACGACTCGGATGACCATGATTGGACTTTCTATATAGTGCCGGTGTGTTCATCAAGAGAGGCTTATTGCGTATGGGGCACACCGGAACCAGTGGTGCAAATCTCCTCCAGACGAAACAAGGATGAAGACTCCCGAACAATAGATGAAACTGATGAAACAGCTATTAAACTGCGGTAGATATTTACTCTACTGATACCTTGTCTAGCAGAAACCATTACTTTTTCAAACCCTCATCTCTTCGCCCGTGTTAAGCATCAACGCGACTCATAAGCGTCCAATGGGTGCTGAAGCCAGCAAAGTTGTCCCGGCAGGCATCAGCCAAAAAAATAGGTATTTCCTTCAAAGATGCCCGTTATGTTCAAACCCCCCCTTTTCCTGGCAATCCTCCGACTTCAAACCCTCGATTCTCAGGGCCAATGTGTCGGTGCTCATCTTCGTGGTGGCAGCCTACTCCGGCGGCTTCTTGGAGGCTCACCGATTCCGCTGGAGCCGAAGCATGTATTGATGGTGATCAGTTGGATCGGTGAAGTGGGGCTGCAATGGAGATGGTTGTGTAGGGAACAACGAAACAACATGACCAATCAGATGCTCGAAACTAAGTCACTCTCCAAACTTGACCGTTGCTCTCAGCCGTACAATCATGCGTTGTTGATGTTTGCTCACGTTGTTCTTTAACAATCAGATAGCTCAAAAATGCTCAACACTTTGTTTCAACATGACAATGTTCCTGTTGTTTGTGCATTGTCTCCTCGTCTTGGCTTTGTGAGTTGGTTCTCTCTGTGAGTCGGTGTTCCTGGCTTGTCGGTAGTGGAGAGGGAGTTCTTTGTAAACATCCAATGCACCAGGATTTAGTTGGCAACACTCAGACACTCCATATAATCTGGAATATAGTCACTGACATTAACCCCTTTTGGCCACCTGAATGTGGGCGTTTGATAGGTACATCATATATGACAGTCCCATGCTGGAATGCTTGTCCGGTCACCAAGCCCTGGGCTGCAAGCAGCAGCCGCCAAGCTTGCCCCGATTCTGAACTCGTTCCCACCAGCTTCCTCAGCTCGTGACCGAAGGAATCCCAGTTACAAATGGACTTTTACATACCTACGTCTTCTGACAGTGTCTTTTTCATGCCTCTACATAGGCAAAACACCTCTCCACTTAGAGAGGCTGGTCAGAAATCATGGAGGCAAAAGTGACTTTTGATTGATTTGGGTGCTGTGGAACAACTTCAAGTGTATAAAGAGTTCCCTAAAATATAGATTTCATTGGAACCACTCCCTTCACCACCCATATCAACCTGGTACCACAGCAAGGCCATCTCTGAGCGCGGCAAGGTGGCTTGTGCAATGCATTTTGGACCAAGCGTGTGGAACCCTGGCTTGTGGGAAGGACATGATCTCGGAACAAGCAGTCCTGAAGAACAACCCCACCAGGAAACCAAACAATTTGGTATAATTGCAGTGGGTGTTTGGCAAATGTTTGCAGTATATCTTTCAATGATTTTCAATGTCATGTACTGCGTTTTGGGGCTTATCCATATCTCACTGGATGGCACTGCACATGACTGGTGCAGCTGGCATGGAGAGATGATGAACAGGTGCGGGTGTTTGGTCTGAAGTTGGAGTGGCAAGAGTCAAACTAGAAAGTCATGGAAGGCCTCCAAGCCCCCAAACATGGTTTGGCCAAAAACATGTGATGAGTGAGCCGCCCTGTCCGCTCAGCACCCGCAGGCGATGATCGCTTTTGCGATGCTCTCAGTGGTTCTTCCAGGCAGCACTGCCCTGTTTTTTCCTCAGCGAGCGACGGTCGTTTCTTTTCTTCTGAGGTGTGCACCCGTGCTATTGAGTTAACTTTGTTTTTTTACAACACCACATCAAATACAAAGAAGTTGCTGATGCTTGCAACGCCTTTCAAGCCTGCTCGCTCAAATGTTCATGTGCAAGTTCACTCAATGAAGGGCATGAGGGGCATATACATCCCATATATATCGCACACGATTGAAGCACACATGTCTTCCTCCGCTATGGTGCCGGAAAATACTGAGAATGAGGCGGCAGTGGGAAGTCTAGCAGAACTTTTCGAAGGTGATCGCAGGATCAGAGACCGCATGCGTGAGCATGGATGCCTGATATTGTGGGTAAAGCCTGAAACAATGGGTGTTCCTAGCATGTCAGGCATTGCTTTGAACATTGAACCACTGAGACTTCTTGCCCAGTGGTGGTGCCCACAACAAAAGCATGCCAAGTCACCTTCTGTGACACGCTTGAAGCAGGAGGCCCGGCTCTGGGTATTTTACCATGGGAATGTTATGAAAACTGCTCACAATATTTTTGTTTAACGGTTACCAATATTTACACCACCATGCACCCATTAGGCCCATTAGCTTTTGGTTTATATCTTAAGAGTGTTTTCAACCAGTGCTTGGTAGGTCCATCGCCTACGGTCAATTTGCTCCCTGGTGGCCGATGCTCCCAAAATTCACCATGATGCATGGGGCTTGAAGAAGTTATTTTCGTATGCCTGTCGCCGATCAGGGGGTGACAAGGAGTTTGCCGAGGGCTCTCCGCATAGAAAAGCTCTTTAGCTGAAGGTGCAATTTGTTTGTTCTATTTGTTTTTTTTTGTTGTTGTGTGTGTGTCCTATACTATACCCTTGGACCCGTTGATTGCACGATCCATGCCCAGTGAAGCGTTACAAAAGATGGGTCCTGTCATTGGTTCAACACCTCTATATATAGTGACCTGTGCCTGCACTTAGGACTCGACTGTTGAGCCTTTCTATGAGGAGCTCTTCAAGTTCTGGAATGTCCGCCTGCGACGTGCCAGTGAACCATCACCATCGACAGTTGTGGAAGTGGAGGACTCCGATGCTGAGGATGACCTGTGCCATTGGGTTGTGAAATCTGACCCCTACCCCTCCTCACCTGTGAAGATGGCAGCTGAAGCTGGTGCAGCTGTTGAACACAGCCTGCAGGGGGCTATCACAGATTCTGGTGCATCAGTTTTGGAGGAACCTCTGATTGCAAAAGAAGAGGGTGCAATGCGTGACCAGCTCAAGACTGAAGTCGACAGTGGGGAGGCCACGAAGAAAGTGTCAACCCAGAAGGGCTTCAAGGAGCGCAGTACAAGTCTATCAAAGCAAGAGATTGAGGACAGGATCGCATACCTTACGACACCTGGTTTTTGATGTAACATGTTTGCCAGGGCCAGCTTGGCTTTTGCTCAGAGTTAATATATATACCTGCATGGGTATACGGAGACCAACACAAATAATGCCAACTAGACCATAGTTGGCCCTATATTTGTTTTTTAGTGCTATCTCAACCCCTCTTTCTTGGAATGTTTGGTTAATTTTGGTTACTTGCAGACCTTGGTTGCCTGCTTGCCCCAGTAAGGAAACTCCTGAGCGACAAGGCCATGAAGAATGTGAGCACTGCAGCTCTTGACTCTGAGGATACTCAGGTGTATGAGGCATCTCCCATTGCTGCGGGACTCCAAAAGACGAGTTCAGTCATTTCCTTGGACGATGACTCTGACACAGAGCCACCGACTGATGATAACCTTCGCCGGTCTTTGGCCACAGAGTTTTCAACCGTTTACAATGCAGGCCCGCTGGTCATGAAGAAGCAAACTTTAAAAAGTTTTGGACATAGTGTTGGGGTGGGTCGATATTAAATTTCCTTATATAATTACTATTAACATGTTAGCGCACACTGTGTCAGGTGGACATGCGATGGGAGATGATTGGACCGACTCACAAGTGCCTATGGATGGATATGGGCCGCTGCAGCTTCATGAGCCAAAGGAGCAGGGTGAGACAGAAAGTGGTGCGAACAAAGCGTTGGCACAATCTGAAGAAGCTCCACAAGCTGGGTCTTCACAAGTTGAGAAGCTTCCATGTGGTGAAGCACCCTCCGGTCATTCAACTGGCATCCTTGAAAATCCAGTCGTGAAGGAGCCTGACGAGGTCACCAAGGAAGAGCTTGTACCAGCACATCTGGAGCCTAAGGAGGTCACCAAGGAAGAGCTTGTACCTGCACATCCGGAGCCCAAGGAGGTCAGCAACGAAGAAGTTGTACCAGCACATTCGGAGCCTATGGGGGTCACCAAGGAAGAGCTTGTACCAGCAGATCCGGAGCCTAAGGAGGTCACCAAGGAAGAAGTTGTACCAGCACATCCGGAGCCTAAGGAGGTCACCAAGGAAGAGCTTGTACCAGCACATCTGGAGCTCGAGGAGGTCACCAAGGAAGAAGTTGTACCAGCACATCTGGAGCCTATGGAGGTCACCAAGGAAGAGCTTGTACGTGCACATCCGGAGCCCAAGGAGGTCACCAAGGAAGAAGTTGTACCAGCACATCTGGAGCCTGAGGAGGTCACCAAGGAAGAACCAATTGAGCCTGAGGCCATACTAGTTGAGGAGGTTGGAGAAGGTGAAGGTGGTGGTGACAAAGGACCTTTCAAGGAGGAAGAAGTGAAGGAGGAGCCTCCCCTGGTGTTGAGGTGTCATCAATGGGAGATAAAAAACGCTTCGGTGGAGAAGGAGACTAAGAAGCAAAGCAAAGGCAAAGGGCGTGGGCGTGGGCGAGGCCGTGGGGGTCGGCGTGGCAGGAAACAGGCAGAGCCTGAGGTGATTCGTGATTCCGATGAGGAGGAGGAGGAAGGTGGTGAACCACCAGCCAAGAGGCAAAGAAAGAAGACTCCATGTGCAAAGCCAAAAGCCAAAGGGAAGGCAAGAGCCAAAGCCAAGGTCTGTGCGACCGAAGCTTCCAGCCTGCCCGATGGTGGTTCAGATTTGGCTGAGGACGGGAGTTTGGAAAATCATGACATACCGGTTGCTTGGTGTCTTTTGTCACTGGAAGGGGTTGAAGAACTCAATCGTGTCTATGGGTGGGGTCCCTGCGCACTGCAGGGCAAAGAGGAAGGTGATGGTGAGGTTGCTGGAGCGAAGGGTCTGAAGCGGAAGATCGAGACCCCAAATGAAGTTGATGAGGAGAAGCCAGAAAAGCAAGAGAAGGAGCATATCAAGAGCTTTGCAAGGCGTCCAATGCCTCGAAGCAACCCTGCGCAAAGCAGGTGGACAGCGATCCGGGATGTTTTTCATGACCAGATCCGGCAATATTTGGTTCAGTATGGATTCGCGAACTGCAGCAGCTGGGAGGCAAACGATTCAAACCTGTTGTGTTATTGGGCCTTCTCTCTCGATGTTAAATGTCTAATTTTTAATATTTTTGAGTATAGATCCCCAACCTGCCCTTCGATTGCCCTGGAGGCTGAATGGTGGAATTCCTGCATGGATGCTTTGCAGAACCATGCCCCGGCCGATGCCAAAAAGGGTGAGATCAAGTGCCCTGCCTTGGATTTCCCGAAGCTGGTTGCAGAACATGCCCAGGTTTACCTCGAGGAGACTTGTCTGAGGATGGAGCCAGAGAGCCCGTAGATCGATCGATGAACTAAAGACCTGGTGGACATC